CTAGGATCTTGTTTAGAATTGCTTGTAGTGCTGGTTTGGTATTCATGTAGTTTCTCAGGTGTTCTTTGTCGTGGAAGTGTCTTATTTCCCCATCCATTTTGAAAGAGAGTTTTGCTGGATACATCAGTCTAGGTTGGAGGTTGTTCTCTTTTAGTACTTGAAATATCTCATTCCAGGCTCTCCTTGCCCCAAGGGTTTGTGTTGAAAAGTCTGCTGTGATTCTGATGGGCTTTCCTTTGTATGTGATTTGTTTCTTTTCTCTTACTGCTTGTAGTATTTTGTTCTTCTGTTGGGTTTCTGGGATCTTGATTATTATATGTCTAGGTGTAGATTTTTTTTGATTGTAGCTAGTTGGGGTCCTATATGCCTCAGTTATCTGAATGTCAAATTCTTCCCCTCTGTTTGGGAAGTTTTCTGTCATTAATTCTGCAAACAGCTTTTTTAAGTCATTTGTATTTTCTCCTGCTACTTCATGTATTCCTATCAGTCTTATGTTATTCTTCTTTGCATCATCTAGGAGTTGTTGGATCGATTTCTCATGATCTCTTACTGTTTTTAAGAGACCTCTCTTTTCATGGTCACTGACTGCAATCTTATCTTCTATATCTGAGAGCCTATCTTCGCATTCTTTTATTCTGTTGCGTACACTTTCAATAGAGTGTTTAATCTCCTGGATATCTGTTTGAATCTGTTTTATGGATTCCATTTCTTTCCTATGTTGGGCGTTTATTTTTTCCATTTCTTTCTTATGCTGTGCCTTCATGCCTCCTATCATGGTCCTGAGCTCATCTATTTTTTTGTCAGTTTCTGCTCTAGAGTCTCGAATCACGACTTCCATTTTGCTCACTATCTCTATGGTTATCTGGGAAATTATTTCTGTTTTGAATTTTTCTAGAGCCTGATTGATCTGTTTTGTTACTTCCTGTGCTTTGAGTTCAGGGTGTCCTGGTGGTTCACTATCGGCCTTTTCATCCTCATTTGCCCTACTGTTTGCCATTGGTGAACTGGAAGTCTGTCCTTGTGTCTTGCTTAAGTGTTTTCTCATTTTAATTTTTGTTGTCGGACTGTCCTTGGTTTAATCTCTGGATTATCACCCAAATCTTCCTGATATAGTTGCACCCTAGCTTCTGTGTCTCTAACGACCCACAGACATTCTCATCTTCATAACATCAGAGAAAACAGCTCATCAAATCAACGGCAATGCTTTACCCCAACTGATACAATCAGCAACACATTAAGATCAAGCACAACTTGGACACTGACCACCTGTGGTAGTCACTAGTCTATCACCCTTAAATCATTTGAATTAAATTGAAATCAAGAAGCAGTCCAGAACATGTCTCCAGTGAACAAACTTTTCAATATAGTATATTTACCATTTAATGGCTCAGACAGAGCGAGGATGCAAGACCCCTGATCTCAGTTAGCTGATTGCTGAACCCCCTGACACTGACTGACCTCGGGCTGCAAGGCCCAGATTGAGTTCCCCATCCTTCTGAATGGTTGAACTCCGCAACATTCTATTACAGGTTTCCCCCGCCCTTTCTTTAAAGATGTTCAAAGTTGGGAACTCAGAAAAATACCCTTGATGACCACCTCTGCCTCTGCAGAGTGGGTCCAAAGACTTGCACAGTCAGGAGGTCTGAGAGTGCGGGCGGGCAGGGGAAGGGGTTATGGGGGTTCAGGGGCGCCCTCGCGGCTACCTTCCCGGCGCTTGAGCGATGGCGGCTGGGTCGGAAGCAGGCGTGGTTCTCCTCATAATTATTTTTTAAAGAAATGTTATACACTCTTTCTTCCAAATGGAGTTCACAGGTGAGGTCAATCCAATTTTCAGGAAATGGTTCCTGTTTACCCAAGTTATTGTAGAAGATAGGAGATAAAGTCATGCACAGCTTATTTTTCTGAGACCGGCACAAGTGTGCTGCTGAACAAGAAATTGAGGCTTATTGACTGTGTGAACGTTATCCTTGGGTTGCAAGGATGGCTCAGTGTCAGATATAAGTGCAGCTTATTCCAATGCAACATTATGCGTGGGCACTAAAATTTAAATTTCACCTAATTTTCATATATCACAAAACATCCTTTAGTCTTTTTTTCACACCAAAAGATGTACAAACCATTCTCAGCTCACGTGCAGGAGGTGGGCCATACTTGGCCTGTGATGTGATGATTTATATCTAGATGGTCTCCCAATGCCTAGGGGCTCATAGCTCACGGGTGGAGAACTGGGAAGAAGATGAGACTGTGGGGACTTGTAGCTGACTTTCTGTTAGAGAAGGCAGGGCCTCACAGAGGAGATAGTCACTGGGAGCGTGACCTACAAGGGTTTGTTTCTGGTCCTGGCTCCTTCCTTCTCTCTCTGCTTCCTGAATGTCATGGAGTGAGTAGCTGTTCTTCCACCATACTCGGTGCCAGGCCATCCTGCCTTGGAGCCAGGACTATGGACTAAAACGTGAGACAATACAAACCTTTCCTTTTGGTGGTATTTTGTCCCAGTGAAGAGAAAAGTGACTAAGACATGTGGACTGTAGACTTCCCACCTCTAAGCTGACTACACAGACTGACAGTATCAATGCACTCTTAAAACAGATCCTGCCCATGCCTTCATTACTTGCTCTCTGTCAGGAAATATGCAGAGCAAATCACACCTCCCTATCCACTGATGACTCTTCTTCCATTCTCACTTCCTGTCTTTTGCTCTCCTCCAGAGTGGCTCAGCAGTCTTGCTTTCTCCATTTCATACTCACTGTGCTAGTCTTCACTTGCCATTGAACACTTAAGGGTTTTGCCTATTTCTAATGCATTCTTCCTGCCATTGTTCACAGTGGAAATTCCAAATATATATCATTTATTTTGATTTTTATATTATTTATATTATATTTTATATTCATATATATTTATATTTATTTTCAGTTCCATTTAGTTTCTCTTTATTCTTGCATATTAATTTAGCCTCCTGATTCACCAAGAAAATAAAGACTATATGTATTTTTTTCAACTAGCTGTTGCTTAGCAAAAGATAACTTAAAACTACACTGTCCATTAGAGGGAAATGTTTATTAACCTATATAAATATAAAAAGATTATCAAACTATACTGTTAAAAAAAATCTCAAATAGAAAAAAGATGACCCAGTAGAAAAATGGACACAAGTTTTGATGAGGATTTTTTATAGACTTAGAAAACCTTAGGGCCAATAACACATAAAGCAAAGCTCAGTCACATCATCGAGGAGTTATAACTGGTCATGGAGATCACACCTCTTACCTACCAGGTTGGCAAAAAAATTATCAGTTGCTTCTGAGGATACAAACATAAGTTGGTACAACTAATTTGGAAAAGCAGTGTGGGTTGCCTAGTAAAGCTGTAAATGCCCATCCCATAGGGCTGAGCAATTATAATTTTACCCATAGATCATGGAGACTCTTGACTGCTTTTGTATGCAAGGGGTACAAGAATGTTCATAGAAGCAGTGTTTATGGTTTTCAAGGACAAGTGTCATGAGTAGTCTGTATTGATCAGTTTTCCTGTTGCTGGGACAAAATACCTGACCCTCGGAAGTTCGAGGAGGAGAGGTTAGTTTGGCTCATGGTTCAGAGGTTTCAGTCTGTGGATGGCTGCTGTAAAGCTGGAGCATCATTGTGGGAGAGTGATGGTGGAGCACAGCTGCATTCTGCATGGCAGCTGGAAGCGAAGCACAGAGTAAGAGGACCAGGAAGCGACACCCTCCAAGGGCACGGCCTATGGTCACCCCCTCCTCAGGGCACCTCTCTAGCAGCACGTTCAGTGTGAACATCTAGGGATTGATGCGCTGATGAGTTGAGCACCTGAATGGCCCAGTCAGCTCCTCTGGAGTCTCTATTAAGTCAGTCAGCAGTTAAGATACCTGACACAGCAGAATGGATGAGCAGAAGTATATTAGTATTTGAAGAGTATTTATTCCCTGCTACTTAAAATCAAGAGTTTGCTGAACTTTGTCATCGTTTACAGATATTTTTGCTTGAATGACAGAATGAAAAAGTATCTTGGCCTTTAAAAGCAAAGCTTCTTAGAAGTATAGGGAAATTTAGTCAAATTAGATAAAGAAATTAGACTTTAGGGGCTGGGGATTTAGCTCAGTGGTAGAATGCTTGCCTAGCAAGCATGAGGCCTTAGGTTCAGTTCTCAGCACCAAAAAATTAACAACAACAAAAAGAAATTAAAATTTAAAATTTAATTGTATAAGTAATATGCCACTGTATTTTGCATGTAAAACTTTTTTGTGCTTTTTTCAAATCATACTTTAATTTTAGAGCGTATTAGGTTTGCAGGAAGTACAGAGGGTTTCCATTCACCCACCCTCCTTTCCTGTTCATTACCATCCCACCTTGGTGTGGCACATGTATTACAAACTCATTATGTGTGGATAAAGTAGTTTCTTCAGCGCTCCCAAGCCAGTGCTGAAGTAGTTATGATATGGTCTCTTAGTCTGCACATGCACCCACTTTGTAGTTGAATAAAAAAGGTGTGAGACATGGTGATTGCCCAGTGTATCGGGCTGCTGAGTGATAGAAATTGGATTTTACTCCAGGAGTCCAGCTTTGGACCTAGGCTCTTCACCTTATGGAAGTATAGGAAACTTGAAGTGACAGCATTGTCTGCCAGTTCCAGTTGCCTGAGCTAGCAAATGCTTTGATATTCCTTTTTTTTTTTTGTATCAGGGATTGAACTAGGGATCTTGGGCTTGCAAAGCAGGCGGTGGAACCATGAGCTAAATCCCCGGCCTGACATTCCTTTTCTTGATTCATGTTATTAAAGTTATGAACAAATTTGGATTTACATATTCAGTGGTTACATATTATGTGGTTAAATGTGGTAAACTTTTTACCAGTCCCACGGAAGCCTGGGAAATGTACCAACTGAGAATGTGTGGCGAGGGACTGGGTTTTGCTAACGGAGCAGGATGCTAAGTGACCGCCCAGGTGTGTGGTAGATGTGAGCTGTGCTTTGTCTCCCTGCAGGTGCAGCAGTCGCGGGCATCTACCGGGTGGCAGGGAAGAACATGGCCCCTTTGGAAGCGCTGGTGTGGGGCGTGGGGCAGACCGTATTGACATTAATCATCTCCTTCTCAAGGATCCTCGCTACACTTTGAGGTTTCAGAGGGAATGTCTTATTTCACATAGGAAAACAGATGTACAGATTTCCTGAAAATGGCATTGTCAGCAAGCGGAAATGAAGTTGTGCAAGAATGAGGCAGGAGCAAGTCAAAGCCTAAGGAAGACCTCACGCTGTGTGAAAGACTGCCCTCTGGTGTTCAAGCGATTGCACTACCGCCCTGCACCTTACGTGCCTCCCTTCCAGGCAAGGTGCACCTAGACCTTCGTGAAGCTACAAGAAAAAGCACCTTGTTTAGCTGCCAATCAGGTTAACGTTGGTGTTCAGATCATCATTCTTAACAGTGTTGTATTGAGCTCCAGGGACGTTCTGAGGAATTGATACATGTGCCAAACTCTTCTCTTTTGTTCACTGATCATGTGATGATTTGAAGTGTAGCTGTAGATGAGCGCTGTGAGCATACTTGACACGAATCCAGGTAATGTAGTAAGACTGTTTTGTGATGCTAAATCCCACCTGAGTGCTAGACACTGAATCAGGTCATGTGAGAGAAATTACGTGGTTTTTAACGTTGAGCATCTCTGGGATTTAGGGCTTTAGTGTGTTTAGGCGTTACTGTTTTTTAACTTATGTGAAAAATAATAGTCTTCTTAATGGAAGACTAGCTACACTGTTTTAAGGACTCAAATTAGATCTATAGGGTGCATACTTTTCACTAACTTAACACCCTTTTAATATTTCCCTCATGCATAAATATTGTTTATATGAATTCAAAAATGTTATGTTTCACACACTGATTGTCATTTGTGTCATAAAATATAATTTGAAAATTTTTTCTAAATTTTATAAGGGAAAAAAGTCTGGAATGCATGTCACATTCTTTGTCCCTTCTAAAGAAAGCTTTTGCCTTGTATCTCATGGAGAAATATCTTTATAATTAATATTGTAGTGGGATTATATCATACATCTTGATCTTTGCAGAACTATCTCTCATTCTGGAGTATTAATTGTATTTAAAGAGTGGCCTAAATTAGGCTCTGGAGGCAGAAGGGTTATTTTGTAGATAACTAACCAGTAAGTTATACGGAAGGATGATAAACTGTCTTACTGCAGATATGTGGCAGCATCATGATTCTGCTAATCACTGAGACATATAGTAAATAACTTTAAAATTTGTCGGTCTTAGCATATCAGTACAGCTCAGAGTGTATATTCAAATGATTCAGTTCGGTTGTTCAGTTCTTGACGTATGCTGTTCAGTTTTAAGTTTATTTAGGTTGAGAAGTTATTATTTAAGTTTACTAGAATCTTATCACACTTACTAAACATGGAAATGTCCTTTGTATAAAACATTTTAAGAAGTTTTGCTAGGATACATAGTTATGTACAAGAATATGAGAAGTACATAAAACACAGATGCTGGTTAAATCAGTCTCCTGTGGGATATTTTTGGGGCACTAGTTGCAGTTATAAATGTGCTAACTCAAGCAAAGAGCCACTGCACAGAAGTTAAGGACAATTCAAAAAATAATCTGACACCATAGCCTTTTTTGTTTGACCTGATTTAAATTTTTTAAAGTAAGTTTCTTTTAGATTTCATGAAACTTCAGACTTAAATACTAAATACTTTTTCTCCACCAAAGTGAATATATAAACTTAGTGAGGGTGGTTTGAGGAGGGGATCCTTTTAGCAGTCTTGAAGCCCATTTTAGGGATTTACTAACATTGCGGCTTGGAAATTTGTTTTTTAAAAAATAAGCAAGTGTGTTCTTAGAGATCCTTGTGGTAAATCTTAAACTTAATTCTTTTATTATATAAAAGCCTATTATTTTCATGTGTTGTTTATATTCCTAATGTTTCCTCAAATTAAACTTAGACATAACTTTTTCAAGTCAGTTAGATTTCTCCTTTTCTGATAGACTTGAACTGTGTTCTTTCTTTACTTTGGCTGTTCTACCAACAAATGAAAGCATCTGTGTTCTTCTAGAGGAATTACTACTGATATACAGAAATTGTTTCAGATGTACAGACTGAATATTTATTTTAACATATGGTTATTTTTGATTTATGAAAGTTACACAGTAATATAGAACATATGGTTCATAATCCAGAAAATAACTTGGATGCATTGAATATATGAATTATGGACCAAAGAGATTTGAACTCGTATTTTTAGTCTAGGATGAAAGTATGACTGAGTGGTTAATAATTAGTTTGTAGAGTACCCTGCAGTTATGCCACTATCAAGTTGATTTACATTAAGAATTGAGTGTGTTGTATACTTTGATATTTAGGGAGATATTTTTGGTTTCTTTGCTGCTCTCAGTTACTTCCATTGAGATCTTGTGCATCTGTCACTGTTTTGATGTTTGAAATGTTTTGAATAGTATGAATTTATCAATTGTCTTAATAGCTATTTATACTCTGCATTTTTAAAAGTTAATGGTTTTCCTGTAGAGATTAATGTTTAATGATATATATGTACACGTATATATCGTTATATACATATATAAAGAGCTATATATGGATACACTCCAATTGGAAAGCTTTTGCTTAATGAACACTTTGATGTTCTAGTGAATTTGATAAATTTGTTTGGTTGAATGGTCTTTTAAATAGATTTGAAGATGTTTGAGATTTTTTTAATCTAAGGAAAATTTTCTTGGTGTAGTAGTGTGGGAGACCCTTGTGTGGGGTATGACAAAAGCCCTTATTGACATAATTGAGGTACACTTTCTTAAAATTTTTATGTGATTTAGCAGTAAATTTTCTTTGTGACAAGTGCAGAAAGGAAGTGAGGGAATCCATTGCAGCTGACACTTGCTTTAAAGTATTTATCAAAATACTGCTGATAGTGAAATCAAGTCCCCAAAGGAGGAACTCCTAGATGCCCAAAATTACCACATAACATCTGGTTAGAAATGTCAACAGAACAGAGTCAGTCAAGGGAGCCTCATGTAAGCTACAAACAGTACTTAGAACCTTTAAAAGAAGGAAGTGCAGCTAACCCACCCATGGCACAGTTGGGTTAGGTGCGGTGGAAAGTTCTGAATCATGGCATATTCGTTGCATGCAGTTTGTTATTTTAGACCCTGATGTTTACCGAGCAGTGTTAGAGTCTGTTACCCAATATGCTACCTTAGTATTCGCTATATACATTTCATCTGCTACATTTCCAAACCCACAAGAGTTGTGTTTGTACTTTAAATAAGAGAGAGGAAAAAGGATGAGTTGGCCTGCATATTTGCTATTTGCGATGCAGGAGCAGGGATAATTTCAAAATCAAAGAATGTTACTAGAAATGGTTCTCAGAGCCTCTAAATAAGCCGAGGAAGGTGGTGTTGCCACTCCCTGTGCCCATGGCAGCATCCACAGTGCCAGCTCTTTGTATAAACACTTCTTGCAGATCTCCTGTGTGCAAAGTGCTGTACGAAATGTCTGTTGTTAGAACAAAGATGACTACAATGGGATTCCTGCCCCCGAGTCCACCAAGCGCTGGCAAAGCAATTTCAGACCCTAAAAAGCTTGAGGCAGCATTTCACTTCATGATTTTGGTTAGCAGTTTGGATTCTGTCCCCTACTCCTCTTCTGATTTTTCCCAGTATATCTACTGCATGGAATTTCACTAGCTAAGATGCCGTTGCTGTGACACAGTGAGAATAATAGATTCGAGAGGCATAGGCTGTCACTCACCAACTTTTTTTTTTTGGTACCAGGGATTGAACTCTGGTTCTTGTGCTTGCAAGGCAGGCGTCAGAAGCTCTGAGCTAAATCCCCGGCCCATTCACCAACTTTTTGATCCAAGCAGTTATTTAACCTCTCTGAGCTGTAGTTCATACTCAGTGAAATTATTAACACTTTATATCATTATTTATGAGAATTTATTAACACTTTATAACATTATTATGAGAATTATTTATGAATAACAAAGCAATATGCAATTACAATAATAATTAGTAGTCACCAGGATATTTTTAAAATTCTATTTCACAATAGCAGTTGACCCTGTTTTGTACAATCCATTCTTCTTCCATTTCCACATTTTCCATATATATATATTTATCATCTATATATATGATATATATATATATATCATATATATATATGAAAAAAACTAAAAAAGTTCTCTGTAATCTTACTTCTTTCACCTCTTCTCTACCCCTTTATGTTTAAAATCAGCCGATATTTATCTAAGAGCATATTAGGAATTGGTGGGGTGGAAGTGGCCAGTGCAATCAGGCTTAAATTATGGCTTCTGGTTAACACTGGTCATAGTAGGAAGAATAGAAGTGGCCAGTATTTACTCCTTTACCATTTCCTACCTATTTCCTGGGGATTAGATTCACTCAGAACATTTCTTGGCTCTCTGTTATATGCAGATTATTGTCTTTGTTTTAGAGATGGAAAAGTGGGTGCGATTCACCCTTTCTGCGCCACAAACCCAGCTTTCTCCTGCCATCTTGGCTCGGGTTCTGCATTGTGCTGCCCAGTTCTGTTAGAACATGGAGCTGGGCTTTGATGTCTTTTGTACTTCCCATGGACGAGGCCTGTTGGTGGCCTGGTGGTGGTGTTTTGTTTTGTTTTGTTTTTTAACCCAAAAGGCAATGCTGTTATTTAAAAATCGATATCCATTTTATAATTCAGGAAGTAACAAGATGCTCAGAGCACTTTCTAAAGTAGTCATAGACTACTACTTTTTTGCTAAATATTTTCTCCCAGAAAGCCTCAAACAGAATCTCTTCAAAAATAGTTTTTAGGATATGAGGAACATGAAAAGTTACTGAAGGAATTAGTATTAGAATTAGAGCACAGAGAATTTGGCGTATATGTTGGATAACTGAGTAAATTATTGTTTCTTTTAATAATCAGGAATGAGACTCTGATTAAAAATGACTAGTAATCAAATGATCCGGTAGTCTCCCTTAATGTCCTATCCTTTAAAACTCATCAAGATAGAGCATCTAGACTAACATTTTTAACATTGTTAAAATGTGGTACGGATTTGTAGCTGAGGGAAATTTAAAGACAGTAAGAAATGTTGGAGAGCTGATGGGTTCGTGAGAACATAGCTTCCCTACAGAATGAGCGTGTGTCCTGCGTGTTTACACAGTGCTGTGTTCTTCTGTGTGCGTACCCCTGACCAGAGTGCATTTGAAGTTCTGTTATGTGTGTGTGTGTGTGTGTGTGTGTGATTGTAGGTTTGCCCGTGTAAGTTGAGCATCTCTGTTTGGTTACAGAAAGTGTACTGTTATCAAAGTTGCTGAATTATTTATCTCAAAATATAGCTGTGAATTTGGGGGAAATAGTACTTAATATATGAAATAGTTTCACTAAATGTGGAGATGTACTGGTGAATTCTTTATTAAATTAATATCGACACTAGAGTCCCCGAGAGAGCCGCTCTATGAACTGTGATCATCTCCCTCTAGAGTTAGGGGATTCACTTTCATATTCTTTATGTGCATTGAACATTTGTTGAACTAACATAATAGCCCTTCCTTGATTTTAAGAGCTAATTTGACAGTTTTTAAATTTTCTCCTTTTTCCAAACAGATGTCTTACATTATAGTTTAAACATGCACAGTTTTTTGATAGAAGCTGGAGTGCTGATTCAGAAGAGAATTTTCAACACCGATGGTTATGCAGCCATTATCTTTTAAAAATAAATAGCTGTAGGCAGGTCAGGATAGCATGCAGCTCTTACATTTTATTTTATGTCTCCTGCACCCATACAGAGGGTATGTTCCATCAGTAGTAACGTGACTGTCTTCTTTTTGGAAATGTCTTTAGGTTTATAACTGAAACTGGAAAGCAGTATGTCACAAATGTTTAGAAAGAGAGCATCACCTGAATCTCATGACCAGAACTTTCCCTCCTGAGTACAAATCGGTAATTACTAACAATCATCACTTTAGAACCCTGTTTAAATGAATATTAGTTTGAAAGTAATATTGATGAAAAGCTTTTTTTAAAAAAAAAATTTAAGTATTTAGATTTTATTGAGTATCTTGGAGGTGAGTCATTTTAAAGTTTCTTCATAGAAAACAAATAGAAGTACTTGTTTGAGTACAAATAAAAATACTTTACTTTCAGTAGTGAATAAATTGATAAGCTAATTGTTGACATTTTCTCAGTGTTTACAATATGGGGTGATTTACCTTGGAGGAATTCAAAACATTATGGCTCTCTCCACGACACACCCACAACTTCCCACAGAGGCGTTACATGTTTCTATGAACAAATATGAAATTCCATAGTATTTTTCCTTTAAATTTACACCTTGTTAAAATTCGTGTGATTTCTACCATAAGTATTAGCCCTTGACTCTAGTTCTTCTGGGAGCAACTTTATCCTGCAGTTGACTAGCTAAAATGTCTTCACTGAAGTACCAACAGCATGGTTTACCTGGCAGGTATTAAAAGACCACCAGTGAATCAGTTATATCACAGTACCAGTTTTAAAAGCTAAATGATGCCTTAGTGCCTTGAAAGTTAAAATACTTTTGCAAAGCGGATTTAGCAAAAGTCAGAATTGGCACCGACGAGGTGGCTGTGTACGTGTCACTTGTGACTGGAGACCCAGAGTTGATGAAGGGTGTCATGGAAACAGGTCTTGGCTCCTCACTTCTTGCGGTTCACCATAGATCAGCTACTTAGCCACTGACCATGACAGATGATAACTACTTTCTTTGTGTTCTCATGATGTGGCATTTTCCTCTATTTTTTTCTTTTTCCAAGAAAGTTTGAAATGGGGAAAAATGTAGTCAACCATTAAGATTTTTAGTTTTGTTGTAAACTAGAGATCCTAGTGTGAACCCTGTTTTATATTATAGTATGGGGCAGACACTTTATGTATGTAACCTTTAGAAATACGTTTATCATCAGGGATTTATTTTTTACTATAGAAAAATTAAATGTACTGTGAAGCTTAAAGACAGGAAGAATAAGCTTTGGAGGGGTAATACAGAAAAACGAAAGCATATTTGATGAAGTACCCTGCATTATGTGAACACAGTTCTCCCCTCTGTTAAGACTATAAACTATACTGTATGAGTATGTGTACTGCATGTTTACATAATACAGTTTAATTTTGAAGGATTATTTAAAAAACTTTATATATAATACCTAACAAGCTGTAAATATTGTATACTATTGATTTTTAATTTTATAAAGCAATTTTTTAATTTCCTGATTCATGTACAAATCTCATTGTGTATATAGCATACTTTCCCGGAGCATTTTGCAGTGAATTTGAAGTATTTTAATTGCAGTAAGTATCAGGTTAGCCTTAGAAATGTTGATCTTTATTTACATTATTTTTCACCACTCTCATGTTCTTCACAGGGCAGCAATAAACATATGCAAGTTATTTTTGATTATGAAAAAGTTGGTCTAACAAGACAAGATTTGGGTTTCAATTTCATTACTTTAAAGAAAAGATGCACAACTAATATCATCCGCTGTCTGATCACGGACCATTTCTGAGGTCCACATGTGGCTCTCTTTGTAATGTACAGGGTGGACACTTTGTTGGTAACACACAAAACATCTACTGAAAGTGAATCCAGCATTTAAATGTCATTACACAGAATTTATTGGATTAAAAATTTGTAATATACAGTATTTTAATAAAGTTTCTGTATTTAATTTCATGCACTTATATATAAATAAACCTGTCTTTAAAAGCTTTACAGGGTGTGTGACTCTCAGTGATGTATCTTCTTTACTTATGGTAGACTCAAGTGTCTTCCTGCCTTTTTGTCTATTTTTCTGGGCCAGTTTTCTTATGGATTTCAGAGGTATAAAGACAGATTTGGCCCTATTTCTAGGTTGACCTTGGACTGGTCGAGTCATGTACTGTATTAGGAAATGTGCCTTCACTTCTAGTATAGTACACTGCCATTTCCTGAGTATCTGGTGCACATTTCACATATCCCTGGCACTGGAGCTAACCCATCAAGTGATGTCTCCATCCCCATGCTGTACATACTCATCTGAGGTGGGGGATTTCTTATGGCTCATCGTTGCCGAGCTGGGTCTTTCTGCTGTCTTGCTGTTATTTCCCCCACTGTTCTCTGTCAGTTCTAGAGTAGTCTCTCACCTGTAATGAGAAATGGCACGAGGACCAGATGACATTATTGAGAGTTCAAAAGTTATCAATCATCTCATTATTTGAATTGTTAAACTTCTGCATAATGGGAATTTCTGTTATGGATTTCTGCTGCTCTGCCCACAGAGACCGCAGCTGACAACCAGTGCCCGTAAGTGTTACCAACCCTGCGGGAATAAAAACTAGCTTCCCTTCCAAATGTGGGTGCCTCATCACTGACATTCCTTCTCTGTAATCAAATTGAAGTGGATTTTATTTCTTTAGGTAACTTTTTAATTCCACCATATGAATTATAAAACAACTAAATACATTTTCTCCTTGACAACAAATTTAGAAAATATTTTTGACCAAAATTTAAATCTTGAGATCACAAAAAAGGTTTTTTATTATACCTTTGGGTCTTGAAGTACACATTTATGTATTAAGTAAGCTATCTTTTGGTTCTCTGATGCTTGGTGACTTGTGCTCAAATACCTGAGAAAAAAACCTGGAGGAAGTAAGCTTTATTTTGGCCCCTGGTTTCAGAAGTTTCAATCCATGGTCAGATGACTCCATTGTTTTTGGGCCTATAGGGAGGCAACACATTATGGCTGAGGAAAGCTGTTTACCTCACACCTCATGGCACACAGGAAGCAGCAGGAAGAAGCCAGAGGAGAGCTGAGGAGCAGGCACAGTTCCCTAGTTCCCACCTCCCTGATCCTTTCCTTTCTACTAGGGCCCCTCTCCCTTTCCTGTCACCCTCCAGTAATGCTGTCACCTTATGATTTCATCAATGGACTAATGCACTTGATGAAGGTAGAGCCCTAACTGTCCAGTCACTTCCCAAAAGTCCGTCAGCAGACAACCAAACCTTTAGCTCATGACTTCTGGGGACATTTCAGATCAGAACCGTAACAGAGGGTAAGGAAATTTAGAAAGATGGTTTGATCTTACCGCTTTATGGTAGCATAAAAGTCTTGTCAGACTTGTGGGGAAGGAACTGACCAGGGGCTTAATGGTATTGATGTGTTGCTGAGAACCCACTGATTCCATAAAAGAGTGCTGGAGTTTTAGGATAGAGGGAGGACAGGAAAGGGCGTGTACACATCCTTCAGGAGTAGATCCTGGGTTTGCTTCACAGCATCATCTGTCCACTGTTCTGGTTTATGTGCTCTTCACTTCTCAGTTATTGCCACCAGACATTCTTTTTTTATTAGTACACGGTAGTGACATAATGATCACAGTCACTGTGGGGAGTTCGTACATGTACATGACACTTAATGCTTTTAATGTTCCTTTTTTCTGCCCCCAGTCTCTTAGTTCCCTTATTTGCAAAAGTGCTATCTCCGTTTCCTATTATCTTTTATTTTTCTTTCAGTTGCCTTGTGACTATTTTATTTATGTATTTATTTTTCATTGAGTTTATTGGTACATTTTAGGTATACAGTACAGTTACATTCATCATTGGGATCTTGTACCTTTATAGGACAGATCTCAGATCTATTTCAGTTGCCTTGTGACTATTTTATTTATGTATTTATTTTTCATTGAGTTTATTGGTACATTTTAGGTATACAGTACAGTTACATTCATCATTGGGATCTTGTACCTTTATAGGACAGATCTTGGCTATCTTTTATTTTGTTCTTTAATATATTTATAGTTGAGCTTTTCATATGTTGTCTGTCTGACTTATTTCACTTAACAGCGTGGTCTCAAGGTGCACCCATTTTCCTATGAATGACTCGAATTTATCCTACTTTATGGCAGAGTAGTGCTCCATTGTGTACAAATGCTACATT